ATATATATTCTTTTTAATTTTTCTGATCTCTAAGATGAGTGGTTACAATCGCGTGAAATAGTGATCACCTATAAGCTATAAGCTACGTAGCGATAGCAATGAAATAGTGATTGTTATTTCGTATTTAGCGATAGGTATAACCAATAAATAAGCAAACAAACCATTAAACTAGCTAAATAACTTAACCATTTTAGCTTTTTAGACATGTTTGTATCCGATTGTAATGTAACTAGAAGTTAGTTTTTAAACATAAATAACAATAGGCGAGTCTAAACTCAAAAACCTAAATCAAAGATCATGTAGATATCATCATCATCTTGAACGAATGACGGCTCAAACTATTTATAGGCAACTACATCATTTTCTTCTTCACCCAAGTTATTGTCCTCATCCTCATCTATTAAACATCTTCCTCTGGAGCTCGATGCGGACTTGTCAACAGCCCCCTATTCCCACTTCTTGTAGGATAAGGCGGCTCACATGCCCCAACAACATCTGCAACTTGACCCCATGTCAAATTCTCACCCTCGAAGATCGGGGCACCTTTATGCTTAAGGAGGTCAAAACAAGCTCATATCTGAAATGACAAGCCCTCAAAATGACTTTACTCCTATGTCAACCCAAAAAGGACCAAAAACATGAATTAAGGAGATCTAAACATCTATAAGTCAAGGTTCGAACTTGATAGCTCAAAGAGACTGCAACAAGTGGAGAGATTCTGGATCTATGACTTTCCTTCCAAGATAAGCACCTTCAGTCTTCAAAGCTTCCTTCAAAATGAGCAAGATAACCACAAGAATCCACTCAAGGCTCAAGAACACCACCAAGAAAGCTTAAGGGACGAATTAGGGTTTTAGTGGCAATGGAGGCTGGTAAGGAGACCAGCCCTTGGGGACTTAATGAGATTATATAGGGTGCAACACCTTAAAAATTAGGGTTTCCTTCCTAGCTACCAACACGCCGTGTTGGTTTATTAAACTCCGCAGGACAAAATCATATCACCACGCCGTGTTGAGGCTTCAACACGCCGTTTCCAAAGATAACTTATGAATAAATTGGAAATAATTTCAAACCTGGAATCGAGCGTTATAGAAGGGCCCAACCTGATCGTAGTGCATTCACCCATATATATGTAATTTTTATGATTTTGGGATTTGTACTCTGATAACTATTTTTACACTGGTATACTTTGATGGCTGTTTTGAGATATTTGATGGATTTTGGTTGATTTAAAACTGAAGATTTTTATTTATGATTTTTGGGATGTTACAAGTTGTTTGAATCAGATGTACTTGTTTATCCATTTCACCATCTTGGTCCACTTTACTATAAAAAATGTTGCCTATTAACTTGTATATTATTCACCATGTTTTGGTCATAGAGTAGAAAGTTATTATATTTGCTGTCAGTACCTTCATCAATACTACCTTCTGACCTAATTTCATCCTTTTTTCCTCACAGTCAATCTCATTACAATATCCTTCATTCACATCATCAACATATTGGTAATCATTGATATGAACCGGAAGTAAATGGACTATTCAATTGGACTCTAATCAAGATGGGCTACTAGTTCTTCGTGATTTGTTATATTTTCAATATCTTCCGGTGAGAGTTCTTCAATATGACATCTTTGTGTATCTTGGGCTTGTCCAAATGTCAAAATGGACATAAAGCCAACTTCATCAAAATCTAATTTTCTACTACATGACCTAAATTCTTTCTTTTAAATTTTGTTAATGTTTAGTTTAAGGGATATACCATCATATATCTCATATAATACAACCTTTGTTTATAGGGTACATGAAATAAGTGTGAACCTTTTTTTAGCCACAATTTAGTGTATTAGTCAATTACTTTATGATCTTGCACATGTCTCCCTAACTTCATAACATATTGGTCGTTTCCTAATGGTAACAGATCATAATTCAACTGATCTTCGACAATAAGAAAATGGTAATATATTGTATCACTATTAAAGTACCCTAACTCTTGGATCATTACATTTTGGAGAACACTTATATTCGTAAAGTCGATGTAGTTTACCCTCCTATCAACATATCGACGTCCATGTTATATTGTAAACATGCCTCCATGATGAACTTTTATTACGAAGTAGTTTGGTATGCCTTCTACAAAAAAAAAGTGAGATGAAACCATCACCTAAATGTTCATGGTAGCACAAAACTTAAGGTTTTTGAAAGAAACCACTTAGCGTACTCTTTCCTAGGTTGCGTTTGAGTTGCATGAACATACCATGATGTCAACATTATTTCAACATTTTTGCTTCCTTAAACTTTGCTTAATTGATAATTTTGTCTTGGAAAACCCTTTGCTCGAAGAGATTACGGTCAAGAAGACGATTGATTGCATCGGGGGACGAGATATGAAATACAAAGGACGACTTTGTAAGATACTCTTCATAATGGTGATTAAAATGGCAAGACAAGTAAAAAGACACAAATACCCTCATGTTACGACACATAGAATGATCCAACCACCCAAATTAATTGACAATACGCAAAAGAACAAAGCAGAGAATGTTTAGAAACCACCGAGACCAAACGCGTAACAATTTTATAACTATTGTCGCCCATGACAATTTACAAACCACGAGGACTAACCTAAAATTTTGTGTAAATTTTAGGAAAATCTCCAATAAAGTCCCAATATTTTGGGTCATTTTACGATTTAATCAAAACTTCTATTTTCTAAACAGAAAAGTCTCGATTATTTTATATTTTGCCAAAATTAACAAAACAACTTTTTTTTCCAACAAAAAAATGACATATTATCGTATAAAATTAGATAATCGAGCCTTTTCTGTTCAAAACATAAATATTATAATTAAACCGTAAACAAACTCAAAATATTAAGGTGCTATTTGTTTTTTTTTTAAATCTCTTCCGACCACTTTTTGCTGTGCGGCGTAGTACACGTGCAACACTTGCCCTTTCGCAACAATTTGTTTTTTGGAAAGCTTCAGACTATAAAACTTTTACATATGTTCTACGCGGCACAACATTTGACTTGTGTCTTCAAACCTCTTTAGCTTTTATTTTTTCTAAGTGATTTTTTTTAGAAATTTGGTGTATCTTATTTTTTTTTTTAACTTTGATTTTTTTTTTTTTTTTAACTTTGATTTACGGATTTAATACAATTTCTTTTTATAGTTTCCACAATTTTTTGTAACTTGATTTTTTATAAAAAAAAATTTGATTTTTTTTTATTTTTTTACTATTTATGTTAATAATATTTTCAATTTCAGTTGCATCTTTTTTAACATGTGTAATTCTTTTACGATCTTTGTAGACACTGTTTGCAATATTTTCTTAATTTGTTTTATTATTATTTTTTTATGTTTTTTAAAATTAGTTTTTTTTCTAGAATAAAAATGATAGCTTCTTTTATATTTTTTTAAGATTTTTTTTAGAAATTTTATATTTTTGTTGTTTACATGTTCATTTTAGTATTGTTTCAATGTTTGAAGACTAGAATTTTTAAAATTTCGGTGTTAAGAACTATTTTCAGTTTATAAAATTTGTTTATTTAAATTTCAATTTATTGTAGCAGTCTTTACATATTAATTAACAATACATACTTTTTATTATAGGCTCCAACCATTTGGTTCACCTCATATGTTGCAGAGGGTTGCAGAGATTCGCATATTTCATGAATTTCCCCTTGAGAAAACAAAACACCTGACTAGATTTTATCAAAGATTTTCTTATATTTTACTTATCAAAACTCAAAATAGGGGAAGGCCCGAAGGGTGTAAAAACCCCGGTCCACACCATCATAGCAAAACCTCAGAGGAATCGAGGGATCCGGTCTAGAATTTGATCCGCAGCATCATTTGCACTTTTGCAGATTGAGGTGGCGGGAAAACTGAATAACAAAGAGACCGTGTTCGATCGACCAATCAAGACTAATGGAGGTCCTGAAATCACCATTGTCAGCCTCACAGAAAGGGAAGCTGATTTCTGCAGGCTACACTTCCATTAATTTGCTTTCTTCAGTTTCTCCTTCCCATCTTGCACTAGGTATTTCATTTGTTTATTTTTTACCCAACGCACTTCTACTGAATTCTATGTACATGTTTGAGTCACACAGCTTTTTTATTTGAAGTTTATATTGGATTACTTTACCATAATCACAGAGATTGGATTGAAGTGTGATAGGTCATTGTTGCTTACGAATTCCGCACACCAACTGTTCGATAATATTGTCGAGCGAACAATTTGGCATTTGGTCATTATCTAATATTAGATGCCCTTTGTTGTGTTTGTAATTTGTTATTAATTGATGCTGTCTGTGGATTTGCGATTGTAAAATATCAGGAAATTAGAAATGATGATTGATTGATATTCCTTTTTTCATAATGTCATTAAGCCTTGTGATATGTACCCTTTTTCGTAATTGTTGCAACATTTTGTACATTACTTTTAGCATAAACAATCTCATCCATTATTCATGGATCAGAACTGAAGATTTCAGAAGCTGAGGCACTTGAAATTTTAAAAACTGTATCAGATGGTAGTAGATCAGAAAGCACCAGTACCAGTTGCACAATTGTCAAAGGTATTCATCCTTCCATTAGTTTTTAATTTCCATACTGCTAAAACTACATGATCATAATTTTGGTTACCATTTCTTGAAGGTGCCCAGAGTGCATGGGATATGCTTCAGGAAGAGGAAACCCTTGTACGTATCACCACTTCATCTTCAGATTTTGACAACATTTTGGGTGGTGGAATAAGTTGCAAGGAAGTCACTGAAATTGGTTAGTTCTATTACGATGCATTCTTTTTGTTTACTTCAAGTGTGTATGTTAATAATACTCCAAGATTTTTTTTGTCTCTTTCCTTTACTAGGTGGAGTTCCAGGCATTGGTAAAACACAACTCGGGTACAATATATTGTTTGTTTTTGTTTTTTTAATCATGTTTTTGTGTTTCTTATCTGCTAACACAAAACACAGAATTCAACTTGCAGTAAATGTTCAAATCCCATTTGATTATGGTGGACTTGGAGGCAAGGCAATTTACATTGGTAAGTTCTCTGGTTGGATAGTTCAGTTTTAATGTTATTGTGAAAGCTTAACATGGTTCCTTTTTTTTTCTTTCTATGTTAGATACGGAAGGTAGCTTCATGGTTGAACGAGCTTTACAAATTGCAGAAGCTTGTGGTGATGACATGGCAGAATACAGTCGTTTGTATCGAAAAGGGTTTCATTCCCATGAAGTCAAAATTCAACCCAAAGATTTTCTTGAAAATATATTTTACTTCCGTGTATGCAGTTACACCGAGCAAATTGCACTCATCAATTACTTAGACAAATTCATCACTGACCATAAAGATGTAAGCACATGATACATGAATGTATTTATATGTATTGATCTTATATTTAGTCTCATTAAATATTAAATTGTTTGAATGTGTTTATAGGTGAAGGTGGTTATCATTGATAGCATCACATTTCACTTTCGTCAAGATTTTGATGACATGGCATTAAGAACTAGACTGCTTGGTGGAATGGCTTTAAAGTTGATGAAACTTGCTAGAAAATTTGGAGTAGCGGTAAGAGTGATTTTTGACTTAATAGAAAAAGTCAGAAATACAAGGTTTAATTCTAACATTTTACAAAATTGCCCTCGTTTGTTTTATTTTGTTTGATCAGGTTGTTGTATTGAATCAAGTGACCACTAAGTATTCAGATGGTTCATTCCATTTAGCCCTTGCACTCGGTAACATCTAAAATTCTCAAATTTTGATTTATTTCTTCTCATTTTTACAAAATTGCCCTCATATGTTATAATAAATGGAGTGTTGAAACTTGGTTTTATTTACAGGTGATAGTTGGTCACATGCCTCCACAAATCGGATAATTTTACATTGGAATGGAAACGAACGGTATGCATACATTGACAAATCACCCTCTCTCCGATCGGCATCTGCACCATATTCCGTGACAGGAAAAGGAATCAGGGATTCTCCCTCAAACAACAAAAGAATTAAAAATATGTAACTTTTATTAGTTTACATATGATTCTTGTGAGCCCATTTAAAAAAGCCCATGTGGTTGTAAGAATTAAGAAGGGGAATGTAACCATGTATGACTGTATGTTAATCTGTAAATTGCTTATGGGAAAAGTGAGAAAGTTTTAGTGAGCATGTGGAACTTGAACCTTCCTAAATCAACGTACTTCAATATCTGGACAATTATTCTAACAAATTAGTTTTTCTAATATTTTTTAATACGTTAATTTTTTATATAAAAAAAAATAAATAAATAAAAAGTTACTCGTTTGCATTACAAAATTAGTCGTTATAAGTCTAACCTGTTAAGTGATATGCGATCTAATTCGATCGGCCCATTTAATTTAGTACATGTGATATCAAGTTATGTTATACGTAATTTTTTCAAATTTGATGATATATATGAAGTAAATTATATTTGAGATATTTATGAAGTAAATCGGATGAACCAAAAAAGTGTATTAATGAGTAGATAAATAAAATCGTGTCAGTTTTTTTTACTTAAAATAGGACAGTGGATTTTTGAGAAAAATTAATTTAATAATGATGTGTAATAGCTGATTAAGGAGATTCTAAAAAAGGTTAATGTTATGAAATAACAAATTATTATGGATTTGAGTCCCTAAAGCTTTAAAAGTGATGTTATTGTTATTAAACAACAAAGTTTTCGGTTCCATAAAACAAAGCCAGTTAAACATAGAACCATAACAAAAAAATAAAAATAATAATAATAATAAAAAAATTGGGATTTGGAAATGGGGACTTGATCATTTCAACTTGTAATCATTGAAAACAATACATCATCCATGATTTTTAAACCATAATTCAGATAAAAATCTGAAATTGTGCAATATAAAGTTGTCCTAACCTACCTGAAGTAACCAAATAAATTCGATATTTGTTGCTTAGTGACAATAACCTCATTTTCAAATCTTTAATAATCTAAAAAGATTGTTAATAATTTGGTGCCGCTTCATAACATTAAATTATTCCAAGAGAAGGGTAACTTGAACTTTCTTACTTTTATTTATACTTTTCAGTTCCCTTTTTGTTCAATTGTGAGGGGTTTCATGAGATGGGGCTGCTTAATTTACTATTTTCTTTTTTTCCAAAAAGTCAATAAAATTATGTCATCAAATTTGACGGTCAAACAAGGCCAACAACATTACTAATAATACAATCATTGAAAGACAATCAAACCTAAAAGACTAAAATACAAAAATATTTTATGAAAAATAATGAAATATTTTGATGTTTTAGTCTTGCAAACTTGATTATTATGACTTTAAGTTATATAATTATTTACTTCTTAAATATTTATTGGGTAATATCTAGAACTTAGAAGAAAAAAAAAGTTTAAAAGTTTTTTATTTTTATTTATTTATTTATTTATTTTTGATATCCTTGTTTTCATCGTATCTCTTTTAGACTCTTTTACAATGAAATCATCTTTACAAAATGGGTTGTCAGAAAAGACGTCACAACTACTATTTATGCTATATAAAATGTAAGCAAAAAACATATGGTAAGACAAAAGTCATAGATTCTAACAACCTATTAATTACACTATCTTAGATTATTTATCATCTGAATTAGCAAACCAAAACCAATGGTATGATTCTTAACTAACTCATGATACGAGGTTTTCTATAGATCAAGAGAGACAAAGTTAAAAAACACTGCAACAAATAAGCGATTTATTGTGTTATAGATCAAGAGAGACAAAGTTTATGAAACACTACAACAAATAAGCGATTTATTGTGTTATAGATCAAGAGAGACAAAGTTTATGAAACACTACAACAAATAAGCAAACTTATTGTGTTATTAAGAAATTCTTGCATTATGGTTTTTCTTTATACGTCATACAAGAACATTTTCTTGCTGTCGCACATCGAATTTGCCACGATTCATGCCATAAAGAAATTCAGATTATTTAATGTACCAAACTATTTTGTTATCAAATACATTTGCGTAAGATTGCGAACAACCAAATAGCATCATCCCACTCGTTATAATTTCTTTTGTATAGAAAGACATAAAATATAATAATAATTATTACTCTTCATCAAGATTTAAGTGCATCACTGCACCCCTCCTCCTTTTAAAATGATTAATGATCTTATAATATTTGTTGAAGCCAATAACTTAATTTGTTTATGATTCTTTTTGGTGGGGTAGGTGACAAAGGATAATGGAGGTAGGTGAAAAAGCAACGATTGACCATCCTGAAAAAATCCTTGTGTTTTTATATAATTTTTTTTTATGTTATGTTTTGGCGATTTTTATATTTCTAGTCAAAACCGTAAATAAACTAAACAAATTTTCTTATTTATAAAGAACATGAGTGTGACTTATTCACAATAATACATGTGGTCGACTGGTCGCTAACAGATTTATGAAAAAGCTGTCTAATTGGAAAGTGAACATTTTTTCAATTGGAAGTCGACTTACTCTCCGTTGTTGGAATCGTTTAAATATTGTTTTTTTGTTTGGGTGGTAAAGCTCAAGAACGAAGGATTTCTTGGATTTTAGATCCTCCAAAGACTTTTTCTGTTAGCCCCACTTGTTTCCACATTGATGAGTAGTAATGTACTAAAGTTCCTACTTGTTGGAACAACTATGTGCCTATAAGGCTGAAGGGTGTGGGCGCGGTCTGGGACCGTGGTTTGTGCCACGTCAACAGTGAACACCGCCCCCAGGCCGCGGTCTGGTGCAGTCTTGGCCGCAGTGCGGTCCTTTAGTGCCGTGTTTGGTGATTGGTGGATGATGCATTGACCGTTGAATGGGTTGGG